ATGCAAGCATAAAGAGATCTGCAAAATGTATCAAATTTCTTAATTTTGTCCACATATGTGCTGTAAGGTTGAAACATTCATTTTCTCTCACTTACTGGTCTCACAGTCATACAGCTGTTTTATGTATGTACTTTTTTCTTTTAAAAAAAACTTGGACTAATAACTTACAAATGGTGGGTGAATCGTACAGTGTCTTAATGAAACTCTAAATGTGATCAGTATGCGACGATTGTGAGCACATGTGTTCGTTCGTGAAGACTAGTAGTCATCAAACTTAACACTACTACTTTACATTCGTACATATTAAACAATTATGAAAAGAAGTGTGAAAGAAAACTGTAGATACGGCTTGGAAATAGTTTTTTCTAAAAAAAGAATATGAAGTATCTACCACCAGAACCATGTGGATAGCCGTGTCATCAGCAGTACGCATTTGGAAAGGAATACACGAAGCCATATCTGTACATATGTTAGAAACTTATGAGGCATTACTTATTGAATCCTGAATGATTTAGATTATTAATTATCAATTGGGGGGATTTGATTGACTACAAATTTGGTCACGAGCTTGACATCAATCAGTGAAGCACTGGCAAAACTAGGAGTACTGGACAGTTGTTTCGTCTTAGCTTGGTACTCATCGGCAGTAGGCGTCCACCGCCATGGTTCGGACCTAGGGTTTTCCAGTGGAGGAGCGAGCTCGTAGGCCATTCAGCCACTGGGACCCGACCCAATGGTCCATGAATCTTAACTTCTGTCGATTTGTGATATATATATATATATATATATATATATATATATATATATATATGGGAAAGTTAAACAATAGCGTCCCATGAGATGAGAACGCACAAGTGACCTTATGATTTTTGCACAAGAAATGACGTTTATTTACAAGACAATGCATGAAAACACATTAAACAGGTTATTTTTCTATGACATAACTTAAAAATACATGCCACTTATAGTGAGGAGTATCAGTTTCTATACATGTATTCAACGAAGTGACTTAAGGTTAGCTTTTTTTTCTTATCCGTTTATCACTCTTATCTTGTTTTGCAGTCTTCCCGAAAGCCTTCGGTTGAATTACTATGGTTTCCAGGTAGAGGATCGACGGTTGCTTACCGGGAAAATGTAGATAATACGACAAATTAAAATAAATAATATCCACTCTAAATCTATCCCTACTCGTAACCCTAACCTTAATCCTAACCCTAATTAAAAGTTTTATCTTAACCGCAATCCTAATTATAACCTTGATCCTACCCTAATACATACCTTAACCCTAAACCTAACCCTAACGAGCTATTAACACATTGTCCAAACAGTACTCAAAAAAGTTATCCGGGTGAAGTTTGCTCCTTAGTTGGTGTCCTTAGCCAACGATTACCATGCATTCAAGGTCACTGGGGAGTTCGTACCACTGGGAGGCTATTGTTTAACTCCCATATATATATGTAGTGGTAGGAGACAATCGGTAGTAAACCCTACCTGACCTAGGTTCCGTGCTAGTAGGCACTCACCAGTCAGCAAGGCGTATCTGTAACAGTGAATGAACTCATGTCCCTTCTGAGACTTGAACCTGCGTCGCTCACTGCTGCAGTCAGAGACGTCACCACTAGAGCTATTTGGATTTGCAATCGACCCCTTGTAGGACTGTATTGGATACTTTGATTGAACACTGGTTAGTAACTGGTGTCTAATCGCAGTGTATATATAAATATACTAATGAACAGGTATATGACGTGCAGTGTATCACTATAAGCACTAGATTTATTGAGGTTTGTTTTTATACACATGAAGTAGTATAGGAAACCTGAAAACTATCCTAATGAATCACTACTCCTCAATTAATGTTCAATAAATAGACAGATATCAGCTGTATGAGAACTGGTCGAAATGGATGACCGTTCAATTTTAAACAATTCGTAAAAGTATATAAGCAAGTTCAAAAAAACAAAACACAAAAAAAAACAGCGATAACGAAACGATATCACATTTATTGATTTGAATACTCTAGCGGTTATCTGTTAACCTAGTTCTACTTTTGCTATGAAAAAAACACTTCGATGACTACGGTTCACAGACATACAGGTGATTTCTATAATCTCAAACTAGTAAAAATATATATGAGACACATGGAACCCCATCAAACCCCATGCATTAACCATTCTTTACCATGAAAAGACGCATTAATCAATACTGTTTGAAGATTTAAACCTCAATATCCTAGTCGTCGAGTGAGAAACCCCCCCCTTATCCAGTTAAATGTGTTTTCGTGCAACATATACTATCATCACTCATTAAATTCAATAAAGTAAAAAAAAAACGAATAAAATCTATGGTATGAAAGGTATATAATTTGACCACGAGAGATTTGAAAACTACTGAATGAATTATAAAGGCATCTCTGTGTGTCATTTATTACAGCCTATAAACGTTTTATTATGGGTAAATTTTGTTTTGATAAAGTCTCACAGTGTTATACAGTAATGTTTACTGATGACCACGTTTCGAGCACAATTTATTGCTCATAATCATATCAAGGTAATCACACGACTTCTTAACTTCATTTATATAGTTCCATTGTTTTTCTCTTGATTTTCACTTGATTTGATTGGTAATAGTATTTTCCATATTTCAGGTATGAGTGACGAGTCATTCCTATTGCATGTATTGGGTGTAGACTCGATGAACAAGGATTCAGTAATCAACCTCTCTCTCCACCTACCTAGATTACTTTTTAGAATTTTAACCCTCTCTCACCCACTCTATTGTGTGGTTATGTGCTGTTGCATGCATTGCAATTGCTGAGCTTTTTTCTAAATTACTTATCTTCTCGGGTAGAGTCAACCATTCTTACCTTAGCTAAATTCTTATGTTCTGACAATCTGACTAACCCTGACCTACTAGTTTGACCTATGTAGTTGACCTCACAGTCATTGCATGGTATTTTGTAAATAATATTATTTTGTCTAATTGGGTCAACTGGGTCCTTTAACCTACAGAGCTTGTCCCTGAGTGAGTTTGTAGGTTTAAATGCCACCCTAATTCCTATTTTATTCAGAATCCTACATAGTGTCTCAGATGTCTCCTCTTTATATGGTATAACTGTCGATGACTTATATTCTTTCTTATTTATGTTATTATTACTAGTTTCACAATTATTTTTATTACACCCAATACATGCAATAGGAATGACTCGTCACTCATACCTGAAATATGGAAAATACTATTACCAATCAAATCAAGTGAAAATCAAGAGAAAAACAATGGAACTATATAAATGAATTTAGGAAGTCGTGTGATTACCTTGATATGATTATGAGCAATAAATTGTGTTCGAAACGTCATCAGTAAACATTACTGTATAACACTGTGAGACTTTATCAAAACAAAATTTACCCATAATGGAAGTACACTCTACCACAGTGCACAAGTTTTATTCTTATATCTATAAACGTTTTAGCACCTTCATCGCCGACGAAATCTCAGCATAGATACGCAAACCTCGTTTGGCATTTGCCAGGATACACCGTGATATCCGATCGGCTGTCGGTCAAACGACGTGTGTAATGCACAACAGCAGTTCGCTACGTCCTCCATTATAGCTGTTAGTGCAACATGGCTATTGCAACTGGAAAACATGAAAAGGCTAGCTAGCTATCTTTGATCTTGGGTGACTGCCTTCAGTCCACATCCCATGTTAGGTGGTGGTATAACAGAGTGAGTACTATTGAGGTTAGGCGTGAGTCGAGTGCTAGGTAAGGAGGGGAAATCAATCGACGAGGTTGTGAAGCAGCTACATCGATTGAGTGAGACGGTTAGGAAATGTGTTACACGTGCATGTCTAGCGATCGATCACCTTCCTCAACGACAGGCAATGCTAGCTGACATGACATAGGACGGATCAGGTTGGAAAAGAGTTAGCTAGTGGTAGTCGAAAAAAATCATGCCTTCATCAGTCAATGGAATCCATAACAGTTAGTTTGAGCCAGCCAACCAGCCAGACAGACACGTAAACAGTTATAGATTGGATGGTTAGTTGGGTGGTTGGAATCCTCGGGATGGTAACAACCATTGGTGGCTGTGGAGACAGGCAATTGGTGATATGGCTGAAAGTCGTCGTTCTCGATGATGGCGTAGATTCATTCATCACTCTTTTTGAGTGATTTGTCATATCCAATAAAAGTGTATTGTTTTTCCATATTACTCCTATTCTCTCTCCCTCATTCACGCTTCTGTCTATTATCTCTCTTTTGAATCTGTGTTTAGTTTGCTCTGTTGGTTTGTGTGGTACAGGGAGGGAGTGTATCGAGTTGAACTGGTGCACATCTGTGCAAATTAGCTGTGTGTTGAAACCAGTCAGTCAGTTTAGCAGCTTGTCAGAAGAACAAGAACGTTTTGAATTATATATATATATATATATGCTGCGTGTCTGGATAGTAATAACCACAAAAAAACTAATTATCGACCTGTAGAAAACATACAGACACACACACACAGTGACTGGCACGTGTCAGCTGGCTGAACAATAATCAATAATATTGATTTTTTAATAGACAATTCATTTTTTTCATCTTGTAATGATAAATGCTTATATTTTCTTAAACTATTCTTTTGTTTTAACGAAACACGTGTGTTTGTGTGTGTGTGTGTGTGCATATGAACAGAAGACGACTACAATAAAGAAAAAAAAAGTGAACATTCATCAAAAAGGTATAATCATCATCATTTTAATTACCATTAGTGATGTTAATAATATTAACAATAACGGTAGCATGATATACAACAATTGAAAGAACAAACAGAGCCTAGGTAGCGTAAGACAAAAACGAAATTCATCAAACAAGGCAATATTAACTGTACCAACCAGTCAATAACCTTTTATTCAGTCTAGTCAAATAGCATGAATAATAAAAATAATAATAATAATAGTCTAATAATCATATTATATATGATTTATTTGCTCTTAAAACAGTTGAACACGATTAACTTACCTTTTTTAAACTGGCTTGATTTAACTGAGTTTTATCGATCACCTTCACAGCAACCTACAGTCGAGTAGGAAGGAGTAGAATAAACAAGCAACACAACACGAAGGAATTAAACAATCATATGAAGTAAACTGAGAGTACAATCACCGCTAAATTAATCTTCCTATTGAATGTTTACTAAGGATTTCAAGCTAGTGGAAACACAACTACCATTCAGCGAATCTTCATCAATGGTTTCATTTATTGTATTTGATTGTCGTGAGGAGAAGCAACAATCACATAAATGTCTTGATAATTTGTCAATAAAGTCATAACGTAAACCATAACTTAGTGGTATATAATGAGCGCCACACAAAATTGCATAGGTTGTATAAGAGCCAGTACACTCCTCAGACACCCAGACCGAAGCAAATGGTCGTCTTAACGGGACACATCCTGAGTCTTTGATTTGAGCTTTAACCTACATGGCAGTGAAGCAATGTCAGGAGTTGTGTTTCCATGTCTGACGGTGACTAAAACAGGTTTACACACGCCATTCGATGCACTCGGATTCTCGAGCCTATGTACAGTATAGGTATGGAATCAGAGTTTTCCAGGTCACCTAAGTATACCAGCATGTCTATCAGTCAGGTTGTAAGCGCCAAACATTCGTATTCACCCCTTCTCTTTTCTGAGAAACACTCCTCCCCCCGGGACACAGGAAGACAGTGAATAGGATTTAACTGGCAGAGGCTGTGAACACGTGGCCACATGTGAGAGCATTTTGTGAACAAGACTTGAGTGTATCCACTCTCGGGTAAGAATATTATTTTATTCAAGGACCATTGGATCGGGTCCCAGTAGCTTAATGGTCTACGAGCTCGCCTTGTAACCGGAAGGTCCTGGGTTCGAATCCCGGTGGGTGCGTACTGCTGAAGAGTTTCAAACTAGGACGAAATAGCTGTCCAGTACTCCCAGGTTTCCCAATGGTTCTCTAACTAATGTCAGCTCATGATGAAATCCCGAAATATTATTTTATTTTATTTATTTTTATTATTTTTGATTACAGCTTGATTCCACACTGTATTTTTGGTACAAGTATGGAATTTTCAGCATGGATATCGGTAGCCGAAATTTTGCAGGCCGACCATAGATATCAGGTGTGCGTCGGCAGGGGATCGAACCTGGGACCATGTGCATGGTCGGCGAGAGTCCTAACCACTGTGCTACCGACGCACATAAATATAAAGAACACAACGGCATTCTATCTAGTATGGTGTATAATGACGACAGTAAATGGTTCATGATGAATAAATTGATTCCCCTTAAAACAAGTATTGAAAATCACAAAAGGTCAGTGGTAATTCACACTCAAGAAGGAGATATGAAAAGGTCACATGCTACTGATAAAGTAAAAAATAATGAGAAAAAGAATCGCTTTCTAGTGAACTTTTCGGCAGCAAACATCAGTAAGTCGTCAGAAAACACTACATACGGTTCTTCTACAACAATGGAACTTCAGTGCTTCAGTTAACTGATTATATCATTCATGAAGAACTCAAACAAGTTCACTTCGTGCAAAAGTTTCCACTGAAGATGTTGTTTAAAAAGACGACGAAAGCTTCACAATCAAATCACTCAGCTGAGGAGGAGGAGGAGGCAACCACACCACAATCATTCCACCTGAGCTATAAAGCTTCTCTATTATTTCAACTTACACTTACTAGGTTACAATTTTGGTTGTTACCCAATCAATATATGAAAGATTCCACCAGAAGAGCTATTCTGTAGCCAGTGCTATACAAATGGCGTAAATTCGTACTTTGTTTTTCTATTGCATTCTATTAACCCTTTTTTTTAAAATAATGTGTAATGAAAGACAGTGTTCACAAAAGCGTTAAGTGAAATTCTCATTAGGTCTGTGAATAAATACACCTCTGTTCTATGGGGTTAATATTATTCCTGATATATTTTCACTACAAAAGCATAAAGAAAGTGTACTGTTGCAATGCAAAATAAAAAAAACATTTAGTCTCCTGTGTTCTACGGTGAATTTCTAATCGATATTAATGTGTAATTGTGTGAGATTATATTTAACAGAAATGGATAATAACTGAGTAAACTATATAAACCAAGCAACTCTCTCAATAGTAATGAATCCGTTTTCCTAACTAGTGTAGCCTTGAATGGTACTGCAATCAGTATATATATTTTTATATCATTGTTGTATGAAACATACAACAATGATATAAAAATTAAAGAAACTTGCCCGCCACAGACAGTGGGCAATGAGGAAACAGGCATAAAATGGACCCACAAAAAAAGCCTGGAGGATCTGGATTTTGCCGATGATATTTGTCTGATTTCCCACAAACTGGAAGATATGCAAGTGAAAAGCAACAAGTTGGCAGAAGAAGCATCAAAGATAGGGCTCCAAGTAAACATAGAGAAAACAGAGGTGATGAAGATTCCTGGGCAACACCAACAGACAACAATCAGCCAGCATAAATGGGAGTAACCTGAAAGAAGCAACCTGCTTTACCTACCTAGGAAGCATCGTTTCAACTACAGGCGGAACTGACGACGTTATCAAAGCAAGGATCAACGGGAAAGCAAGACAAGCTTTCATTACTCTCAAGTCTGTGTGGAAGTCAACAGCACTCAGCATGAAAAATAAGATTCGGGTTTCCAACTCCAATGTGAAGTCAATGCTACTTACTATACGGACTTGGCACGTCATAGACAGCACCTCAAACAAACTACATACCTTCATCAACAGCTGCCTTCGCTCAATACTCAAGATCAGGTGCCGATTGTGCGACAAATAGGCAAGGAGAAATGGAGATGGACTGGCCATACTCTGAGAAAACCATCAAGTGACACCACACGCCAGACCATCACTCGAGTGGAACCCGAATGGGAATCGGCGAGTTGGTCGTCAGTGGTAGGGTGACTTGGAGGAGGTCATGTGAAGAGGAGATGAAAACATGTGGGCAGACTTGGAGTCAGATGAAAACTCTAGCAGAGAACCGAACGCAATGGAGACGCGCGGCTGAAGCTCTATGTTCCTTTAGGAACTAAAGGAAATAATAATAATAATGAAATATATAACAAAGACGAACAGTTGAATATGTTTTCCTTACCTCTCGCCCAGTTGAAACATGTTGAGCAAGTTTAACTTTTGCGAAATTACCTCGACCAAGTGTACGAATTAACTTATATTTTCCAACATTTGGTTGATCTCTTAGTGATTTTTTGTCTGAATTTTGGTGGGATGAAGAGTTAGTTGACTGATCATTTGCACTAGCACCAGCGCTAGCGCCACCACCACCGCTACTAGCACCAGCAGCACATGAAGTTTTGCGCATCAAACGAATTCCCGAGGTATTGACAGTATTTGTTGTAGTTACACTTGGCATTTTATTATTTTTTTTTTGATTATTTGCTTCAGTTAATATACAAAATGGTTTCTGTTTTTAAAAAAATAAGATGACAAACTCCGGTGTTATAATGCAATTTTCCTTTTAATGTATTTAGAAAGTAGGTCACAAAACTCGTTGTAAAACACTTTTACAAGATTACCTGATGCCTATTTTGATTCAACATTCCAAATGGAAACTTTAGCAGCAGAAGGTGAAATTATCGTGTATCTGGGTACGGGTGTTGGTGATTTTGGAACTGCAACAGATGACATCTTTAATCCTCTACAAGAAACTAATAAGGCAAACTTCCTTACGAAACAACCATGATACACCTGTAAGGACTGGAGTCTTCAAGCTGAGTATGTCAGACAACTGTTTGATTACCTCCTCTAACGGCAAGTGTCCCGATGAGTTAGAGACCGAATTTTATAGATGATCTTATGTCATGAAAGGTGCATCAAGAACTTGGAGATGGCATGGGAATGTTGCTCTACAGGCTGCCACACCATCAGGTGTTCGCTAGTCCAGAAATAATTCAGAAGACGATAGGTGGACAGCTAATAGCGCTATGAGATGAAGGACTGTTGTATTGATTTGCCATCTGTCAGTATTTTGATGGCTTTCTGAATCAGGAACGAGAGCCAGCATCCCAAACTATAGACAGCGGAAACCATGTAACATAGCTTTTTGTTCCAGTCAGTAACGGTTAGTAAGGCAACTTAAGCTCTACGCAGGTTCTACGGAACTCACTGACTGTAAAACACCTAATCAACAGAAACAGTGAATAAACCTAAGAAACAAGCGGTAGCTTGACCTACAGTCAAAAACTAGATACATTGAAGTAATCATACAGGTGAATTTAACATAACGAAGTTAGTCTTTTTTACGAACGAGAGATGGCATTTACACGACACATTCCATCAGCGTACAATATAGACGAATATAAACTAGGACTGATCACCAATGCGTATCACAGAAAAACTAGGTAGCTACAATCAATAAAGGTTTAAAAGCCAATATAACAGAATATCTACAAAAAGGAATATTTACTGATAGTTATCCATTTTGTGTAGCATTTTTTGATGTGCGAACAACGGATCCATAATTATCCTCGTAAACTACTCTGTGCTAACCTAATTTGCACAAAATGGGAAATACGCTGGTATACAAAGTTTGATTTGATTGTTTCTTTTATCACCAGTAAATATAACCAAAGAACACCTATGATTGTTGTGAAACTTCAAGTCTATGTTTTGTACTTAGATGCGTCACATTTTGCACTTTCGAATCGCATATTTGTGTCAATCTTAATACTTTTATTAGCCCAACATCCATGAGTTTGGGTGATGGTTGATGAGAGACCACACTTTAACAATCAATATGCACTAAACCCCAGTCATTTAGTCAACAAAAATAATAACTGGTTGATACATAAATATCGTCACTTTTGTGACCAATTCGTGAACATACAGGGAAAATTTATCAACATCCACAATAAATATTCAAAAGAACAACTGTTGAGTTCAATGATACAACTTTGATACAAGTGAACGAGTGTCAAAGAGTTCAATAGAGAACTTTGTCCAGAAATGCCACAGTTTAGGTTTTACCAGACAAAAATAAGAGCAAAGTGGAATGCTATGATGAACAACCAACAACAAAATGCAGAGCAACTGGAAATGTTCAAAAGCTAAATGATAATAAGGAGGAAATACATCTACAACACTGTAATCGGTTCTTAGTCAAGTCACAGAGCTTTCACTTTGGTAGTTCAAACCAATTCAGACGTTTTACGCACTTCTAATTCATCCATTAGTTCCGTCGCCACCTAATCCTGAAGTCTCTTATCAATAAATGACTCACAACGCGTAACACAACCTCTACAAAACTTATTCAGTACGAATTCCCGAATTCGTTAGCTGAATCGTATTCTTTACTTAGGACTACGAACTTGATATCAACACTACGCCGTAATAAAGTCAGACGTGAAGAAAGGACACTTTTGAACGGAAAACACCATGAAATGGAGCCATACATCAGGACAGCGGATCAGTGTGTATTAATTTTATCCCGAAGCTGAAAATCAAGTTCTTTATACTTGATTCTTAACTAATATCCTCGAATAAGCGAATTGATTGAAACATCAGACTAATTTATTAATTACCGTGAGCAAAGCCAGTCATGAACCAGGAATCACTTTACAACTAGCAATGTAAAACTCGTGTTTGATATTAATAAATGTTTACTGATAACATTTCAAAAGCTAAACACCTTTTCACCAATAAATGTGACTGTCATACGTAATCCAGAACTATTGCACACCCATTTCTGAGGGGTTAAAGCTGACCAAAGCTACCATATCTACGGCTATACACTAAATAATAAAGATAACGGTGGTCATATTTGATAAACAACATCTGTTTCAGTCACAGCAGACGACAAATTACTTTAGCCTTTGATACAACCAAGACTTTGACTAGTGAGATATTACCGATAAGACACAGTTCACTAACCCTTTTATGACCGGATTCTTATATAACACCTCTTAATTTAAAGCGCTGAGTGCTATCTCTGCACAAGGAAGTGTAGAGAGCCCTAAACTTATCAGAAAGTGAAAAAGGATGAAAAATACCCACACCATATGGTATTATGAGTCAGATGACTACAAACTGAAGGATACAAACTATTAACAATACGTTATCGATTCGGCGTCTCTACTATTAATTAAATAGGATTGTGCAGACAGTAAGATATCTTGGCTACGGGTAGATAACTGTTACCACCTGAATATCAAAACAAAATGTAGAAGCCATGGGCTTGGTGAAATACGAGGACAAAATGCGACTCTTTACGGTCACTGGTAACATTTTCGAGATACAGTAGCTTGAAAAGTTATATTCTGTTTACAAGATAAAGAATCTTCTAGCCTTAATGAAAATAAGCTTGACTAGTGTTTTATGATCACAGTCTGTACACTAGTAAGAAAAAGTTGGTGGTCTTCTACTGGTCCCATTGTCTACAGGTGAAAACAGCCCATGACCGAAAATATTGTGCCCATAACTATGAGAATGTGTCAAATAAATTTCTACCAGCAGTCATTGAAATGATAGTTTATATGGGGTATCACAGCTAATTCCTGAAGATCTCTCTATTCGGCGTCCAAATATCTCATAGAATTTTCAGTACATCTGAGTTTGTGTAAGGTATTTTTACTCCGAAATACGTCCGTGGACCTTTCCCGAGAAACATATTCAATAAACTACGCCCCCAGGAAACAACAATCCTCTGTCGGAAATGCACTACTTGTAAGATCCGAAGAGCGAACGTAGTATTTAGGTTTAATAGACACCATTAGGTAAATAGCTGAAACCAATATTTATAACCAGTTTATTTTCTCCTACATTGATCATATACAATTTTTAGAAATATTCCACCTTTTTAAATACAACCCACGAAATTCCAAAAGCATGAATGCAAGCAATACACTTACAACAGCCGCTGGTTTATTGATATCCAAAAGCTGAACAGCTGCATATATCAGACAATGTAACAGACATTGTTATTACTATCAGATAACAACATTACAATCTGCCGCTAATACATTATGGTTATTCAAACAAACCGAAACAATGAGTAAATTTTCAAAAACGTTTGAAGGTAATTTTGTGATCTGAAATTCAAAATTATTGTTCCTAAACTGCTACTTAGGCCTGTTTTTTAAGGTTACACATCTGTTAATTGAGAAACGAGAATCCTTCCCTCTGTTTTGTGAAAGACGGTATTTCCAGGTTTAAGGTCATGGTGGGTTCCTGCGTTTACTGGTTATATGTTTGCATGAATTGGTTTGCCAATGAAATTTAAAGATTTGTTTTCGACATTTTGCATATTTTAACGTGTCGAAATAAATTTCTGCCAGTGGATGCTACTATAAAGCTTATTTGTTAGTCTGAAGTTCACAGTCTTAAAGTCAACAGTTAAGAACTATGGCAAACCGGCAATCACTGAGCCAATTCACGTTTACTAGGCTAAGACAGTAAACTGTTCATAGCGCAAAATGAAATTTTATTGCAGTCTAGTTAACCCTCTGAGTGTACAATAATGCTGAAGCAAATTTCGCAAACTCTGAACTAACTCTGACTTTCTAAACTGAGTAAACCCTAAAATTGTTCTGAAATAGTTTGATCATGCGTACACAATGTGACTGTGTACTGGTTTCAGCATGACTTGCATTAGTTTAGCACCTTGTACTTCCTATGATCATCTTCAAAAGTAGCTCAGAACCTACTGTGTTTTTACTCACCAGTCTTACTGAAGCACTCAGCCCAGATTCAGCGGCCAGCGCTCCTTTTCAAGAATTACATCGTAAGCAATGGATCCTATTAGTCACTGTTATTCATGACACGCTGTGATACAGTGATCTGCAGCTGATTAAAAGTGAGGCACAGATTCTTCTAATTTCTAACTCACTACGAATCTGCCTTCATCACAAAATAATCAAAACTTTCACTCTTAGGCATGCGAACGAGGAGGTAGTGTAACAACAAGTTGGACGTAGATGTTTATATTGTTGATTCATACAGAAACAGTAAGGTAATAACATTTTCGCAAAAATAAACGATTCACAGAAGCACGTCATATTCGTAATGTTGCTTGTGGTTCATTTAATAGAAAACTGTCCAACCTGGTGAACTCTGAAATCCGAGGTTGAGAAATTTGTACGGAAGCAAAATACACGCCTTTGCAAGTCTGAAACTACTTTCTTAGCGGCAAATGGTTTGAGAAGACGTAATACATCTTAATTGTAATATTTGCAAAGCATCTAGTTTAGCGAAGATTCTTAGCCACTTCTATGGGCGTAGAATTTATGAGAGTTGCTCGTATGAATAAGTATGATGCCTTTGTCTGAATTGTGAAACTTGAAAAAGCAAAGAAAATTATGGTTTCACATCAGATACAAATCCTCCCGTGAAGCTGCTATTTAAGTAAACATCTAGTCACCTTTGAAAATCCTCTAGACTAGCGGTAATCACAGCTTCCTCCAGCTAAGAATATCTCATTTTCCAAACTGTGATGACACAGTATTCCTCTTGAACACGAATTCTTGCTCTATAGTTGTATGCAGTTGGAAATCGTTTCGATCTGGATGTAATCCTTGAAATGTTACATCCGAATAAAATTACCCTTCAGATGGTTTGCCTCAAAATGAACTCTTCTCTAACATCTGATAAGTCATTGAATCGCCCTTGTGTAGACCAAGACAAGGATCTCCTATACTAATGTCTACTCAGTGCTTCTGTCTGGGTCAGAGACCTGGCGGGTTAAAAAATGTATATCCAACTGGCTTCAGAATTGTATCAGCGATTGTCTATACAATATTTTGAAGACTAGATATGTAGCGAGAAGGAATAAGCTACAGGGAATTCCGGGAATAGACCAACGGAAAACATACTGTCCAACAAATATGCAGGAGAGTGCTAAGCGTATTTAAGCGCGTTTTTTAGGTGCTGTAGTAGATTAGTAGTTGATTCGTTCTATAAATAAACAGTTTATTAATATAATCAGTAGAGTGAAACAGTCTGTATAGAGAGCGTTTGAAACTTATAACCTAAGAGAAAGTTCTGACATCTAGGGGCAGGCTATTCCATATTTCAGAATACATGACTGTGAAGAAGTTTTCACGAAGTGTTGACTTAAAGACATGAGTTGTCACTGTGCATGTTTAGTTACGCAGATCGTAAAAGCCTTCCAGTGCAAATTCTATGTCCTTGATATTTTGTGAAGGACCTTAAAGAAGAATATTAGTTTTATGATAAGTCTAGTCAAAAGTGGGTCAAGTTTTAGGATCATGCAGCTTGAGATGTACTCTTTCCCACAGTAGTAGCCAGGTAGTTTTGAGGTGAAATATCGCTTGGACTGCTCGTAGCATTATCGAACAATTTAAACGTTTGAAAAGGCATGCATTTTCATGTAAATTCATATGTTTACATGAAAATATAAATTATTATTAATTTACGATACTTCAGAATCGTAATTTATAACATAACTGATCGTGCCTGTAAAAATGACATTCATTTCTTGCAAGCACTCATTTATACGAAATATAAATGATTATTACATGTTTTTCCAAAGCTTAGGGTCGACTACAGTCACCAGTGAGAGGTTAAATATTCTAGGTAATAATACTATTATATCCACGCTACCGATTTTGTATGCGATAGATGCTATATCGTCTATCCAACAGCTGCCGTTGGCTTTTAATGTCTTTACCGCTGGGACTATATTTTGTATATTAAATTTGATTTCACCTAAGTTGTAGTTATTTCCTCAGGTTATGCTGAGAAATGGAGTTGGGTGTCATTGGTGTCATTGCAGAACCACTGGCTGAGGCGATCACTGATAACCTGAAAAAAATCATAAACTACTACATCATTTTCCCTATACCTCAAATAGACATTCTGCTTGCTAATAGTCCCTACTAACTTTGTAGAATGTTGTGAACTCCAGAGTTAGGGAGATTAGGGTAGGGCGTTTAGAAGATACGTCTGCTCTTGAGGTATATTGTCAATATGGAGTACATTCTCGTTCTCATGATAAATCTGTTAGCAGTAATTATTTTCAGTACCTATGTTTCTTAAGGATGGTATATAACAAAACGTACTAATTCACTAGCCAAAGGTTAGAACTATCCATTAAAATTGAAACAGGTGCTCATGTAAGGGAAAACTGATTAATCGAAAGTTGAAACATCACGTAGGTGATAAAGTTTATAGCATTGTTTACATGCGAATAGTTAAGGTTATTTATTTAGAAATGATGGTAACTCGTTGATGGTTTAAGGGATGTTGTGTTTGATAGGAAGTAGATGGGACATTGTAACTGAAAAACAGTATAACTGGATAAGCAACATCAACTGGCCACTATACACATATTTTGAAGTAAAACACGATCGGGCAAAGTATTTCGAAGACAGGAGTAGAGTAGTCTTCTGAAACTATTAATTTAGTGAGTAACTAAGTTTTTCTTTTAATTAAGACTGAAAGTAAGCGGCATATTGGTAGGCTAAACGATCATCATTATTCGGTTTCGTTAGAATAAGTATCCGAGTACTATTTCACTAATGATTCTGTCTTTTGAACAACTTGGTAAGATGGCGTTTACTTTAGGATCCAAATTACCAAGTAAAGGTTAATATCCCTGGGATTAAATTATCACCAAAGTAAGTGAATATGTTCATATCTAGGAAATACTTAGGTTTGAACTTGTTTTACTATTACCACAACACCAGGTGACTCACCAATTAGTCACATCGTAAAACTAGATCTGTCAAAGACAGTCTGCTCCTGACTTCTAGATATCGTAAATGAAGAACTATACCCATAGGTTAATAGGATTAGAAGCATGAAGTTAATTCGAAACTAGGTAACTACGTTTCGAAGCTACAGAAAACACCACGTTACAATCTATTCCTCTAATCGTGTCAATCAATGTGACATCAGTTAAGACTAGAGAAGGAACCCCACTAGTTTTCACAAAATCCATTTGTGTTCCTTAATATAATGTACATTCCATAATTATAGGCAAACAAAGACACGTACCAAGTCATCACACATATATGAACAATAATTGGGCGTACACAGCAGGTAGATTTGAAGGAATCCCTACACGATATGGCCCAGAGTTCATGTGAAATGACACATGCCTACATCTGAAGGTGCGAGTGTAAGGTATCGCATTTCGTCAGCCTTTCGTCTAAGTGACTCAATGGGTCGCCTCCATATTTAACAAATGCTCAGTCCATGAATTCTACTTGAACCTGTAAAACACAAAGAATGCCCCGCTGGAATATGGTGCTGTGTTACACCAGAGTTCCGCAGTTTACAGGTAAATCACACTTATTACCACTATTGCAGCTTTTAGTTGAAAAAGTCATTCGACTGTGTCACAGATGCTTTCATCGGGGTTCCTCAACACCAAGTATTATTCCTTATGAGAGTGCATTGAAGAAACCTTGCAGGGGGATATTGAAGCTTCGCCGAAAATTGAATTGAAGCATTTCACTCATACAAGATATCACCCAAGTCTCGTAAACCATTAATGCCCAGCTCTTGCTACGCTGGGACTCGCGCTGTTCCCCGAAGGTTCTCAGAAACGCTAAGTACGAACGGACGCAAAAACCAGAACCCAGTTTGGCGATTCGAGAATTATTTATTCTAACACCAACATATAGCCAATGTACAACTAAGGTCTATGAAAAAATATTACAATAATAAATCACAATATTACTTCTGACGGCTGTCTCCTGAATTCTTTCCGAACAGCGACCGATGAGACGATGACTGACTGATTGATGTTTCCGCGAAAATATAGGGAAGTTAGGTTTGAGCAAACAACTATGAATTGGTCGTTCAATCTTCAACTATACTGACACAAGATGTATACGGTAGAGAATACACTATTAACTCACTGCGCTCAGCCCTACATTACCCTATGAAATTCTCTTGTTTGGAAATGATACATGTAGAAATATATTGTGTCATTAACTTCAGATACACATTAATATCGAAATTTCATACGCCTTCTGTCTCACTACTCCGTGTAATAATAGTTTGATAGTT